TTCAGCACGATCGATCACATCCACACGGTAACGAAGCTCATCGAAGTATCGCGAGAGTACAAGATGCCGCTATGTCTCACGTTCATCGACTTGAAGAAAGCCTTCGACTCCGTTGAGACAGAAGCGGTTATCGAAGCCCTGGGCAACCAGGGTATTCCTACTCAGTACATCAGGATTCTTCGTGAGCTCTACAGCAACTTCACGACCAAGATCTCACCATTCTACAAGGAGATCATCATTGATGTGAAGAGAGGGGTCCGACAGGGCGACACCATCTCGCCCAAGCTCTTCAGCGCCTCTCTCGAGAACGTCATGCGTCAACTGGAATGGGAAGACATGGGAGTGAAGATCGACGGTCGGCAACTACACCATCTCCGCTTTGCTGACGACATCGTTTTGATAACACCATCGAGCAAGCGGAACGAATGCTGGCTGAATTCGACTGCGCGTGTGGAAAAATCGGTCTACGGCTGAATCTAACGAAGACGATGTTCATGAGAAACGGATTGGTTTCTGATGCCCCATTCACGCTCAACGGAACGACCATCTCTGAATGCTCTAGCTATGTGTACCTAGGTCGTGAAATCAATATGATGAATGACCTAGCTCCAGAGCTGAGCAGGAGGAAGCGAGCGGCTTGGGGAGCCTTCAAGAACATCGAGGGAGTAGCGAAGAAGACGAAGAACACCAAGCTCCGTGCCCACCTCTTCGATTCCGCGGTCCTTCCTGCCTTGACGTACGCCTCAGAGACTTGGACTCTACGAAAGCAGGATGAGCATGCGGTCGGCGTTATTCAACGCGCCATCGAAAGGGCGATGCTCGGAGTTTCCCGCTACACGCAAGTGAGAGAGGGAATCCGGAGCTCCGCCGGACGACCGCTGGACCAGAGCGATCACCGACTGGATTCCACGGGATGTCAAGCGAACGCCTGGACGACCGCCTATGCGATGGTCAGACTTCTTCGTGAAAGCTCTGAACGAATGGTATGAAGTCGTGTCCCTCGAGCAGAGAGAGTCATTGGGCAACTCTTGCACGTTGCAGGGACGAATGGAGACGTTACTGGCGCCCGCTCGAGGAACTCGATGATCAACGGGAGCACAGGTGATACAGGTGATTCTTCACTATCGAGTTACTCAGCAACTTGTCGTCTCTATGCAAACTCCCAGTCACTACGTGTAAAAGGGAATGATAGCGGGCCTCGCGTTCAAGTACACTGGCACTACATACGATCAAATTTCCAGTGTACAACGAAGCCTTTCCGCCGAATCTCAGTCCTCTTCGATGACTCGCTGTCCTGATCACAAGTATTACATTCATTTTTAATTTGTATTCCGAATGAATGTTCCGAAACCAACACTAAGAAAAGCCTTCAACAGCGCTCCGAAATGGCACCATTCCTTCAGAAACACCATTTCTCGGTGAGACTATGTCCCTAGCCACGCAGAAGTTTTTCAGGATGTGCAGAGGGCTTATTGAGAAAACGCAAAACAAGAGTGCACGAAGGGTTTGAATTCTCGGACTTACAGACATCAGGCAGTTCGACTGTCCACTACTCCATCGGAGCAAATGTTCAGTGTGCTCACCCACCATTCACATATCTGTTGAACTTGGGTAGTCTCGAGCGCAGGTCAGCTCAACAGCTCTGCAATTCTGTTCAAAGAAAGCGTTCAACAGATTAAGAAGGCAGATTCAAGCCAGCGTTCAAAAGGCGTCAGTCGGTGTACATCTGATTTAAAATGGCCACTTCCACTAACATTCCATTACTGATTAGCCTGATTCCAAGGTATAACTTCTTCACACATCCCATAAATCGATGCACTACTAGTATCAATTGTAAAGCGGCGCGGCTCAGAGGCAGCAGAGCGTGTATGGCCCTGTGCCTGAAGTGCATGTGTGGGCGATCCTCGCATCACTTCTATTTGGCTGACGTTCCGTTTTCGTCAGCTGAACAGAAGTTGCAACATATCACAAACATTCATTACGGAGAAAACTGGTTACCAGAAGCAACAGTCAAGAAAATTAAGGAGGAGAAGTTGATCAGCCGTGAAAGATTAAATCTCCGACGAGGCGTGTACGTTTGGGTCAGGCAACTTCAAAATCGCTCATGCATGCATATAACTGAACATAGCTGAACACCTGCCATAGATCTTTGACTCCACTTTCGAGGTTGTGCGCATCGTTCGTCAAAAGAACGTTTCCTGACCCCGACCTCTTGAAGAACATTTCCACAGTTGTTCGGTAGCCACTTTTCAGCGAAATGCTGTTGAATCGATGAGGGAATCATGGCATGAAGATTTCGGAGAAGCGAAAGCTGAAGCGGCACTGGTAATCAATAATGTGAGCAAAGTGTGGGAGACCACAGGCGAAGTTGCAGTGAATGGTCTTTCAATGAAAGCTTGTGTGGGAGAGGTGTGTTTCTTATATTGTGACCTCTTTCAAAGCCGTCGATAGATACAAGAATAAGCAAAAATACCACATAGCAACAGATATCTGTGCAAATGCTCCAGACGAAGCATTAGGACGATAACAGAGAGTACACAGTACTGTCAGAAAGACCTCACAGGAAAAACAGGCTCAACGTTTGTGCGCTACGTAGCCGGGGACAACGCATTGCTCGAAACACATGGGACGGGTCGTACTTGACCGCTGTGTAGCGGGGAGTAGTATTTGGGCCCTCTACATAGCTTTCGCTCGTCGAAATTTTTTTCAAGGAAAAATTGCAACTTCAAGCGAAGTTTGGGAAACGGAAAAAAAACTGCTAGGAAGCTTGTAACATGTAGGAAAGGGAAGGTAGGCCTTGGAAAAAGGTGAGGTCCATACCTAGTCTTACCGAGAAGGGGGTCTTACCCAGTTCCTGTTTCCGAGGGGGAAGGGTGGTACTAACACCACCATTTCACACATAACGATGCTGCAACCTGTACGCAACACTCGACATTAATAAAGTCACTGACAATCCAAGCCGTTCAACTGCTCTCGAATTTTTCTCATTAGGGAAATGAACTTTTAATGAAATGAACTTGATGTCAACAACTGCTTTTAAGGTCACGGTACTTCTTGGTCATAATGGGGCTGGCAAAAGCACGACATATAATATGATTTGTGGTTTTACAAGTATAACGACAGGCACGTTTGCTTCATTTCTTCACGGATAACTTTACCAGTTCATCTTACTGCATGAGCAAATGTCATAACGCATCCAATATGTGATTTGCAACCTGTCCCAAGCAGTGCTCCCTGACGATATTGACCCTTGTTTTACTGATCATTCTCAGAAATTCGATTACCTCCGGAATAGAAGCTGACCTTCTGACATAGCATTCTTTGCTATTTTCAGTGCTTCCTTGTTCGTTGGTCCTTGTTGAGAATCTCGCGATTCCAGTTCCAGGTCTCATGTTCTTCCAGTGAGCGGATGTAACGTAGATCTCACTGAAATAAAAGTTAGATCCCATTCGCTGCATCAGCCTGGGTGATGACGCTTAATGCCAGAAAATCCTGCTAACGTTTTATAAAAAAAGTTCGTTTGTTTTCGCCCTTTCACTCATCGTGCCACAGAAAGCAGGCAGAAAGAATTGAGAAGTAAGGCAGGAACGGAGTTTAACATCATCTTCCACCAGCGATCATTTTCCTACTCTTAGTGGTGCGGTCGTGACATACTTATCTCTGTTATAATGTGTGCTTCATTAAACTTCTTCTGAAGATGTAGAACAGTCTCCATTTTTTCTTCTCCACTGAATTCGCATATGTTAGATGGTAACTTTACTGACCGCCGGTTTACTAGAATCAAGTGATGTTTTTAAGGTTCCATAACAATATTCGGTAAAGATGTCGAACGAAACTTTCACTCAAACGTTGGGCTTCTGTCCACAGTGGAACAGCATTTTCGAATGCTTCACCGTTGATGACCATCTTTGGTTTTTCTTCAAATTGAAAGGAGGTGACGCCGATTGGAAGGAAAATGCAAATGAGCTATGCTCATCTCTGGGCATGCAACACCTTCAAGAAAAGGTAATTTATCCAGAGACAACTAGATGTTTTGGATACTGGAAATGCAACTTTGGTGCAATCATTTCTATGTACTTTCTTGCTTTAAGAACGCTTCGGAACTGTCTGGTGGTGAAAAACGGAAACTGTGCTTGGCCCTGGCATTCATTGGAGGATCCAGACTACTGATCTTAGATGAGCCTACAGCGGAAATGGATCCGCATTCTAGAAAAATTGTCACAGACTTTATCATAAAACAAAAGCAAGACCGGTGAGCGTCAACGTCGCTCGAATTAGCCGTTCGCGATTGTAATTTTTAGATAGGAGGCTTGAAAGACGAGTTGTAGGTAGCAGTGCACTCAACGGTGAAAATGAAAGAAAGAATCGTAGTCCCTCTCAATGGGACCTCTTTAATCGTGGGACTCTTACAGAATTGCTGATTCCATCAGCATGTCTGTAACACTCCCACAATCTGGGAATCATCAACAGCAATCATTTTCAGGCGCTTCATACATCTCTTTGCTAGCAGCCGTTTCTCCGGACCCTTTCACACTTAACTCCTTCAGAATGACGAACGCGGAAAATTCCTGCAACTTGAAAGAAGGGTTTTCAAGAAAACAAATCATAAGTCTGGCAACCAGTACTGACAGCTATCAAGCCGGGAGCACATGAAATAATCTTGTGATGCTGCAAGCGACGCTGAATAATTCAAATCCCTTGCAGATCGTCCTTTTAGAAAGGCTTTGAGGATACGCAGACTCGGGAGGAAAGGTGTCACGCCTTCCTGTAACCCTTCCTCCCCAGCGCCAAAGATTTAGTCAGTTGAACAAGATGGAGCTTTGGAAAGTTCTAATCTGACTTTTCAAACTTGTTTAACAGAAAAATAACAGTATAATGTATAACGGAGACCCACCAAAAAATGGCCAGAAAATGGTTCTGTTTCTCATAGGATGTACCCAACGATGTCCATGAAGTTTTGGAAGCTGTTCACATTTATAGCAGCCAAAACTTCTGCTTCAATGTGACAGTGAATAAGGGGCCAACTGACTGAGTGACAACAAGGGTTCATAAGAGTCCCTGCTTCGTTCCTCCGAATTCTTATGACCGAATTGCGACTACTACAGCGCAAACAACGGAGCAAAGAGGAAGTGAGGGAGTACGTTCCATTGCTACGCTAGTGGATATAATACCACTGACCGACCATAAAGCGTGGCTTAAATGCGCGGCCGAATTAGTTATTCCCTCTAGCCACCCTTGACGTCCCTTTACCTTTCATTGCAAAACTTGCTGGGACCCACTATTACTCTAGCTGGCACTTTCATAACACTCGCTTTCATCGCCATCTCTTTACTCCTTTTGAGCACTCTCTATCACCCTCAGTTTCCCCGTCCCATTCGGTGCATCACCTGTTGCCCCCGCCACCAAAGCTCACTGTTGTTGCGACCGCTATGAATCTCGTGAGGAACAACAAGCACATCGCTAACAATGTCACCCCATGCACACCGAAGCGATGAAAGCGCAGAACCTCGCACTGTGACGAATCGAGTGGAAGTTTCCCCCAGAGAACGGGGCTGCGGAGACTGTGTCGTAGTCAAATAGCAGATGAAATAGCTGGATTTGCGCGCCTGGAAAATGCGAACTGTATTCCACAAATAAAAGGTAATGGGCGATATTGCTGCCGCTTCCATGTATGAGGCACAGAAGAAATCCACTATTTTCTAATTGAACAAGTGACAGGTGCATCCTGCTCTCAACGCAGTACATGGATGAAGCTGAAGCTATGGGTGATGTCGTGTACATCATGAGCATGGGAGAGCCATGTGCAGTGGAACTCCGTTTTTTCCTGAAGAAAAAGTAATCACTTTCATATATTTTAAAACATTGTACAGGAAAGTCAGAGGGATATTGGCTTTGTGCCGTACGGGAAAAAAATTTCATATCGCAGGTCATAGCGTCAACGAGGCGTTTGTTCCAGCAGCTGGTATAAATGGAGTGTGAACAGAGCAGTGGGTGAAAAAAGACCATAACAACTGATAGAGTTTGATAAGAGAAGTTGCGGTGCTGTCGTTGTTGAAGGTGGCGGTGCATTCAAAGTACCAAATAATAGAGATTTTGTGATCTGCCAAACAAGTCAGCGGGACATCTTAGGCTGACAGTAACAGCGAATGGCATTACGTCTCGAGGCACCTTTTCTCATGAAGAGTTCACTCATGCCATCCTACTATATATAATCTAAGTATGTCTGTGTGTGTCCGTCTGTCTGTGTGTCACGGAATTCATAACCGCAGACACAGTAGCAAACTGACTTTAGTTCCAAGATATGATATAGGGTATGGGAAGGGAGCACTATTGGTTGGCGATAGAAAGTGATGTTCACTGATAACCTTCCATAAGAGGCCTTAGAAGGGGAACGTCACCATATTCAAAACGCAGATGACAGAATCAGCTGGGTGTTGATTCCAAGATATGATGTAGGATATAGGGCTGATTATCTTTAGTGGGTGACAAGAAGTGTCAGCAGCGGATAAGATCCGATAACGGGCGTTAGGAAGTTGTGTTCACTGCATTCATATCGCAGGTCACAGCGTCAACGAGGCGTTTGTTCCAGCAGCTGGTATAGATGGAGAGATGTGGACAGAACAGTGGGTGAAAAAAGACCATAACAACTGATAGGGGTTGATAAGAGGAAGTTGCGGTGTTGTCGTTGTTGAGGGTGGCGGTGCATTTGAAGTACCACATTATAGAGATTTTGTGATAGGGACATTGACGGTGGGTGACAAGTAATCATATCAATTGATAAGAGTTAATATAATCATCCTCGCTTCACTTCTTACCACTACAATGCCAAGTAATTGGAGACTTAAGGTGTACGTGAATTATTTCCTTCAATGTCAAAAAACGAAAATTATCCATTAGAGTAGCTGTGCCCTTAGCTGATTGCAATGATGCCGAGCAGGGCTGTGGTATAGTGTGCGTCTGAAACGGGAAATGTGAAAATTATTAATCAAAAAAATCGTCCCCATACCAACCTCCTGGAGTCATTAATGTTATGATGCAGCCGCGTCAGAGTTGAAAGTCAGTAATTAGCAAAAGGGAATGCATTGTCAAAAATGAACATTGTCGCCGTTCGACAGAACTTTGCTCAATCTACTTTGTCTAAGGGAAGAGGGCTCGGCGGAGCCAGGCGAAGCTGGGCCGTGACCCAGAAGGAGGAGCACCCAGCGACAGCCAGGTGATCCGGCTCATAGGGACAAATCAAGACTTCTGATCGCACTGCTAAGGTACGTGGATGACTTTGTGGTCATCCACGTACCTTAGCAGTGCGATCAGAAGT